CAAACACACCCAATTCCTAAAGTTTGGGGTCAAAACCCCCCAAAATCCCAAATTCTTGGGTCAAACCCTCCTGATCCCACAGACATGGGGGTTAAATTCCCCAAATCCTGGGGTCAACCCCCAAAATTACCAAATTTTGGGGTCAAATCCCCCCAATCACACAAACCTTGGGGTCAAATACCCCAGACCCCAAATCCTTCCCCCCAAAAAACCCACTCCAGTCCTGGTGGGCGCAGTGGGGTTAATTTGGGGTTTATTTGGGGCAGGGGCAGCTCCAGGTGCAATGTCTGTAGAGACCCTGGGTACAATGCTGGGAAAAGCCTCAAAAACCTCTCAGGGAAACCCCAAAAATCCGTTGTGAGGGGCTGGGAACTGGGATTTGAGGATTATTTGGGGTTGATTTGGGGCGGGGTCAGCTCCAGGTGCAATGTCTGCAGAGACCCTGGGTACAATGCTGGGAAAAACCCCAAAAACCTCTTGGGAACCCCAAAAATCCCTTGGGAAACACCAAAAATTCCTTGGGAAAATCCAAAAAATCCCTTGGGATGGGCTGGGAAATGGGATTTGGGGGAGTAAATGGGATTTGGGGTGAAAGAAGGATTTGGGATGGGAAAGGAGATTTGGGTGAAGAAAGGGGGACTTAAAGCGGCGATTGAGCATTTGGGGTCAGGACTTCGGTGAAAAAATGGGATTTGGGTGGAAAAAGGGGATTGGGGATGGAAAAAGGAATTTTGGGGTAGAAAAAGATTAGAGGTGGGGAAAGAGGTTTTTGGGTGAGAAAAGGGGAATTGAGGTGGAAAACGGAGAATTTGAGGTGGGAAAAGAAGGATTTGGGGTCAAAAAAGGAGATTCGGGGTGGAAAGAGGTTTTGTGGTTGAGAAAAAGAGGTTTTGCGGAAAGAAAAAAGGATTTGGGATTATAAAAAAGAGCATTTGGGATAAAAAAAGAGGATTTGGGCTGGACTTACCTGGTATTTGTTGGATTTTTGTGGGATCGGGGGCAATTCTCTAAGATTTGGGGGCTTTGGGGCAGTTTTAGGATATTTAGAGGCAGTTTTGAGGGATTTGGGGGTGGTTTGGAGGGATTTTAGGGCATTTTGAAGGCATTTTTGGGGTGGTTGGAGGGGTTTGAAATGTTTTGGGGCAGATGTAGGCTACTTAGGGGTGGTTTTGAGGGATTTTCGGGTTGTTTGGAAAAGATTCTAGGGCGTCTCTAGGGGATTTTGGGGTGGTTTGGATGGACTTTAGGGTGTTTTGAAACGATTTTGGGGTGGTTTGGAGGGATTTTAGGGCACTTTGAAGGTATTTTGGGGTGGCTTGAAGGCATTCGGGGCATTTTTGGGCAGTTTCAGGGTATTTAAGGAGGTTTCGTGGCATTTTTGGGGGGTTTTGGGGTATTCCGTGCCCCTTTTGTCAGGAATTGGGGGTGTTTTCCTGGGATTTCGGTGGCTGGAGATCACTTTTTGGCAAAGGAGATCTTCATGGCGTTGCTCTGGGTGATCTTGAAGCCCTGCAGAGCCTCACGGGCGGCTCCCGCCTGCACCTCGGTGTCGAACTCGACAAAGGCGATGTCGTGGCGGCCCGGAACCAGGCGAACCTCCTTGAACCCTGGGAACCTGTGAAGGGCAGCGGGATCGGCACCAGAAACATGGAAATGGGCCCCAAAACCATGGAAATGGTCCCCAAAAATACAGGAATGGTCACAAAAATACAGGAACGGTCCCCGGAAACACGGGAATGCGCCCTGGAAATACGGGAATGGGCCCCAAAAACACTGGGGAATGTTTCCTTAAAAGATCTGGGAATCTTCTCCAAAAGAAATCTAGGAATGTTCCCCCAAAAATCCAAGATTCTTCCCTCAAAAATCTGGGAATGTTTCCTCAAAAAATTCAGGAATGTTCCTCCCCAAAATCTGGGAATGACCCCTCCAGAAATCTGGGAATCTTCCCTGAAAATCTGGGAATATCCCCTAAAAAATCTGGGAATGCTCCCCAAAACATCTGGGAATGTTCCTTCAAAAGCCTGGGAATGTTCTCCCAAAAATCTGGGAATTACCCTCCCAAAATTCAAAATGTTCTCAAAAAAAACCCAGAACTGTTCCCCCAAAAAATCTGGGAACACTCTAAAAAAACAAGGAAATTTTTCCAGAATATTCATAAACATTTCCCCCCAAAACTGAGAATCTTTCCCCCCAAAATTCTGAAACATTCTCCAAAATCAAGGAACTTTCCCCCCAAAATCCACAAATGTTCCCCCAAAAATCCAGAACCGTTCCCCAAAACCCAGAAACTTTCCCCAAAAACACCTCCCTCCTGCAATCCAATTTTTTTTTTCTCAAAAAAAATCCTGAAGTGCTCCCAAAAATTAGGAGACTTTCCCCAAATGCTGCAGAGGCATTCCCAAAAAAAACCCCAAAAACCCAACTCCTCAAAAAATCCAGAAATTCCCACCCAAATCCCGATGTTTTCCCCAAAAAACCCAGCGCCGAGCCCCCCCCAAGCGCAGAATGGCCCGGCCCCTCCCGGAATTCCCAGATTCCTGGCTCTCACTGGTTGAAGAGCATGGAGAGCATCAGCTCGTTGGTCTCCTCGGGGAGGTTGGTCAGGAACAAGATGTGGTTCGGGGGGTTCTCCGAAAGCTGTGGGGAGGGGGACCCCAAAATCAGCCCAAAATGTGCCCCAAATCGGCCCCAAAGCTGCCCAAAATTGCTCCAAAATCAGCCCCAAATCCCTAAATCAGCCCCAAAACTGCCATGAATCAGCCTCAAATCTGCTCCAAAATCTGTCCCAAAAGAGCCCCGAATCAGCCCAAAGTGACACTGGGTACGCACCTAAACATCTGCCCCAAATCCCATCAAAATCTCAAAAAAACCCACAAAAACTCAACCCCAAAATCTTGCAAAAATGCTGGGAAAAAAACCCACCACGATTGCCCCAAAACCCTACCAAAATCCCCAAAAAACCCAGAAAAACTTGCCCAAAACCTCAGAGAAATCCTGAAAAGAAACACAAAAACTGCCCCAAAAGTCCCACGAAAATGCCCCCCAAAAAAGCCCCAAAATCTGCACAAAAATCTGAGAAGAAACCACAGAAATTGGCCTGAAATACAAAAAAAAACCTGGAAGAACCCACAAAAATTCCCCCAAAATTCCATCAAAATGCAATAAAAATCCCTTCAAAATCTTCACAAAAATCCCACCAAAACTCCCCAAAAAGCCACAAAATATCCCCACAAAAATTGCCCAGATAATCCCCCAAAAATCCCTCAAAATCCCCCAAATCCCACCAAGAAATCCCTCAAAAGATGCCCCCAAAAATCCCCAAGAAGCCTACACAAAATCACAATTAAATCCTCCCAATTCCCCGTATTATTCCCTAAATCCCAACTCAGGGGCTGTGTCAGGAATTGCTCACTAATCCAAATCCCACAAAACCCCATTAAATCCCATTAAAAGCCTGAAAAGGCCCATAAAATCCCATAAAGTCTGAATAAAACCCCATTAAAACCCCAGCCAGAAAATCCCATTAAAACCACCCATAAAATCCCATTAAACCCCCATAAGCCCCCATTGAACCCCATTAAACCCCCACAAATCCCCCATAATCCTACTGTGCGTTTTTTCAGGCTGCAGGTCCATTCCTAGGGGATTAAACCCCATTAAACCCCATGAATCGCCCATTAAACCCCACATAAATCCCATAACCCTGCAGTGGGGTGACTCATGGGCTGTGGGGCCATTAATGGCGGGATTAAACCCCATAAATCCCCCATGGACCCCCCCATAACCCCGCTGTGGGGTGACTCACGGCCTGTGGGGCTAGTCCCAGCGGGATGAAACCACATTAAACCAAATAAATACCCCATAAACCCTATGAAACCCGGCTGTGGGGCGACTCACAGGCTGTGGGGCCATTCCTGGGGGATTAAACCCCACAGATCCCCCATTAAACCCCCCATAACCCTGCTGTGGGGTGACTCACGGGCTGTGGGGCGGCCATTGGGGCCAGCCCGGCCTGCGGGGCCATTCCTGGCGGGATTCCGGCGCTCGGGGCCATTCCGGGCGGGGGGATCATTCCTGGGGGGGGGATGTAGGGCGGGGTCGCCCCCAGGTGCGGCAGCAGCCGCGGCGCCTGCGCCAACGGGGCCAGGCCCTGCGAGACCCCCAAACATCCCTGAACACAGAGCAGTGATCCTGACCCCAAATCCACCCCAAATCCATCCCAAATTCACCCCAAATCCCAAATCCCTATCACAACCCCAAATCCCAATCACAATCCCAAATCTCCAATCCCAATACCCATCCCAAATCCCAGTCCCCCAATTTCAGTCCCAAATCCCCATACCAAATCCCAATCCTGATCTCAATCCCCATCCCAAATCCACTCCAAATCCCAATCCCCAATCCCAATCCCAAATCCCCAATCCGCATTCCAAACCCCAATCCCAGTCCCCAATCCCAAATCCCCAACCTCAGTCCCAAATCCCCAATCCCAAAACCAATCCCAAATCCCAATCCCGATCCCAAATCCCATAATGGATCCCAATCCCAATCCCAATCCCCAATCCCATAACTGATCCAAATCCCCGATCCCGGCACTCACGGGCACGGCCCCCTGGCCCGCCTGGCTCCCGGCCCCGCTCTTTTTGGGGCCGGGGGCGTCGCTGCCCTTGGGTTTGCGCTTGTCCCGCTTGCGCTCCCGGTCCCGGTCCCGGTCCCGCTCCCGCTCCACAAACGTTCCCTTCATCTTGGCGATGATGTCCGAGTCCGACTTGGCATACTGGATCCGCTGTGGGAGGGGGTTTGGGGGGTTTCCAAGAGGGATTTGGGGATTTTTTGGTTGGGTTTTGGAGATATTTGAGGCCAGATTTTGGCATTTTTCCCCAGAATTTCAGGCGTTTTTCACTAAATTCCAGGATTTTTTCCCCAAATCCCAGAATTTTGTCCCAAATCTCTGTCTCACCATGGGTTTGGGGCAGAAGGGGAAGCTTTGGGACTGGTGAATTTGGAGGGATTCCTGGTTGGATTTTGGGGACGTTTGAGGCCAGATTTTGGTGTTTTTCCCTGTAATTTCAGGGGTTTTTCCCAAAATCCCGGGATTTTCCCCCAAATTCCCATCTCACCATGGGTTTGTCATAGAAGGGGAAGCCCTGCATGGACCGCAGGGCGTTGGTGGCGCTGCTCATCTCCTTGAAGATGACGAAGGCCTGGCCCCGCATGCGGAGGCTGCGCGACACCAGAATGTCCAAAATCTGCCCAAACTGTGAGAAAATGGCGTACAGGGACTTCTTCAGCTCTGCGGACAGACAGATGGACAGCTCGATCAGCACAGGGACACAGGGACAGAGAGACAGACGGACAGCTCAGTAATCATGGGGACAGAGGAACATAAAGGCAGAGGGACAGCGGAGTGGAGACAGACAGACACTGCCCCCAGCCCCGGGGACACACAGACAGTAACAATGGGACAGACAGACAGCGGAACACACAGACAAACACGGCCTCCAGCCCCCCTCACCGTCCTTCTTGATTTTCTCGTTGAGGTTGTTGATGTAGATGGTGTGGTTGGGGCGAGGGTCCTGCACCGCCATGGCCGCGACCCCTGCCTGGGCACGGGGGAGGCTTCAGGGGAGCACCCAGACCCACCTGAACCCCCCGTCACCCTCAGGTTCCCCCAAACCCGCCTAATCCCTCTGAGACCCGCCCTCAGATCCACCTGAGGCCCCCCACAAACCCCTTCAGACCCACCTGAGACCCCCCCAGCCCCCCCGAGACCCCTCAATCCCCACCAAACCCCCCACAAATCCCCCCAAACCCACCTCAGACCCCTCAATTCCCTTCAAACCCC